GAACCTGCTCCTTGATGGTCCAAGAAACACTGCCTTTTATTTATTCTCTCAGTATCCCCAGGCTCTATCACCTCCGTCCATCAGGGACCCCAGAGCTGAGCATCATACATAAAATATCAGAGGAACAACTCTTCATATGCATAAAGAAGGCTGTCATATAAATGTTTGTGTTTTACAAATTAAAATCTTACATAGTAATTCCTTTGGTGATCCGTATTTCAAGGCTGCATCTTGCAGCATTTGTTTCTATAGCCACCGGTCTCCTGGCGCTTAGAGTCTGAACCACGTAATTAACCGTGAATAGTACTGTACAGATTATATTCTAGCCCCTGTTTCTCCACGTCTGTAATAAACCCTGTTCGTGTTTTTCTTTTTTGTTTTTGTTTTTGTTTTTGTTTAAAAAAAAAAAGGCATTCAGCTGCGGACATTAAGTATTTCTGTCTTATAATTTTGATCTTCTCTGATCTTCCTCTCAGAAGTCAACATCATTGTGGGGGAGCTGGAATTTGGCTCTGAGTCCGTTTTGGCTTCTGGCCATGCTTGTTGTCTTACACTACATTGACTCCTACATGAAGGTTTTATTGTTGGGAAACGCTGAGCCACCCATGGCCTTACATACACAAATGGCCCTGTATTACTAAGGTGAACACTCCAAGACTTCATTCTGATGGAGGTAAGAGACTTAGGCTCATCCAGGACAGATTCTGAGTTGATTTCTCTTATGCAAGTATTTGATCATTGTTAAGGGAAAACCAGGATTTATCAGCTGGATATGATTACAGTTTTGACCAATCCTCAATGCTGATGATATTAGCAGTTCTCATGAAGCATTAAATGGTCATTTTAATTGACCCACAAAATAAACAGCCAAAGTGTTTGTTTTTCAGAGCTCACATGTTCCCAGAACAATAAATACAACAGGAATGTTCTGGGTGTTCAAGCACTTTTTTTTTTTCTTTCAAGTTACAAAATAACACATTGAAGCCAGTCTGAAATCTGTCTCAAATGGTAACAAGACCAACCCAAACTCTGCCACTGAATAAGGAGAAGTATGCAGTCACTGTTTAGTCCTTCCATCAAGAGCCACAGATGGGCCTCGATTAACGAATCTTCCTATCACCACCTATCGTCCACCTGTTCCGTTCAGCAAACCCTTTGGTAGAAAATGACTTGGCTTTCAGCTGTCCACACCCTTTTCCTAATGGTGGTATGAGAAAAGAGGACAAAAGGAAAAAGATCCACTCATGATGGCATCCTAGCTCTTCTCAAATGAGAAGAGCTAGGATGCCATCATGAGTGGATCTACAATAGACTCTAGATTCTAGAGTCTAGGCAGTAGTAACAATGTGAGTCTAGGCAGTAGTAACAATGTGAGGGACCTCGAGCACCAGGGGTCATGTCTGAAAGTACTTAAGTAATTACAAAGAGAAAATAATCGATTTATGTGATACGGTGATGCCAACAAATCAACGTTTCAAAACAACTGGTTATCAACATAACCTTGGCATCTTACAATTAAAAAAAATCACTGAGTTTTTATTTTGATTAAAATTTATCTTTAACAGCATTGAAATCTTATGTCTTACCTAGTACAGCATTTTGGGGTGTGGAGTTAGATAGGTTGAAGGAACAAGATGAAAGAGGAAAGGAAACCAGCAACTAGAAGAAGAAGGGTCTCTGGGAAGTGCCAAAGAAACCTGATCATGCAACTGTCTTTCTGTCTTAATTGTTGAAAGATTACTGATGTGCTCTTCTTTTCCCCTATTGACCCCCTTCACCCTGCACCCACCATTCCCAGGCCCAACTGTCTCCTAAGTGACTTCACACTTTACAAAATGTCTCCCCATTTCTCACGTACTTTGCTTCTCACGTCTGCTTTGTGAGTTAGCTGTTATTGTCATCTTCCTTAACTAGATAGTCAAACTGGTCATTGGTCACAGAGTTCCTGGATCCTTTGAATCTCCTGCTAAGGAAGGGGTTCCTCTCTGAAATAGCCTGGAAAAAGACATCCTCTTCAGGGCTCAATCTTTAATGTCTTTTTCTTGTTAAAGACTGTTCATCTAGCCAAAACCGTTTGGTTCAGTGGATAGAGCATCGGCCTGCGGACTGAAAGGTCCCAGGTTCGATTCCGGTCAAGGGCATGTACCTTGGTTGCGGGAGCATCCCCAGTAGGGGGTGTGCAGGAGGCAGCTGATCGATGTTTCTCTCTCATCGATGTTTCTAGCTCTCTATCCCTCTCCCTTCCTCTCTGTAAAAAAAATCAATAAAATATATTTAAAAAATAAAAAAGACTGTTCATCTAGCACAAGTTCAGTTGTGTTCTCAAAATCTAATGTTTTCTCTTACAGCCTCCAGAAGGGTCTGGGGCCTGCTAACACCCTGACATTAGCCGGGTAGGACTCTGACCTCTAGGACTGTGGGAGAGTCTGTGTTGTTTTACACCACTAAAGGTGTGGCTATTTGTTAGAGCAGCAATAGGAAACTCATACACATTTTCGTACCTGGAAGTGCTGAATACCTTAGAGTGTAGAAGTGGCTTGGGAATTTGGCAATGAGCAGATGCTGGGAGAATTCTAAGGAGGACAACAGAAAAATCCTAGATTGCCTTGAACAGATGGTAAGTACAAATATGAATGTTAACAACTCCCCCAGTGAGGACTCAGAAGCGACGAGTACGGTAAAGAACAGATATATCATCTTAAAGGATACCTACATTGTCACAAATAGACTGTAAGTAGAAATATTAACCTCAAAGGCACTTCTGATAAGGGCCCAGATGCAATGAGGAGCATGTTATTGGAAACTGGAAAAAATAAGTCCCTTCATACGACTGCAGAAAGCTTAGCTCCGTTGTGCCCCGAAATAGTGTGGAAAGCAACAGTTTGTAAACAGTGTGAACTGGGTTATTCAGTTTCATTGTTTGAGACCCTTGTGACTTTTGTAGCTGTTGGGATAGGGTGAATATATTTTGCATGTATGATGGACATAACAAATCTTTGGAGGTTGGTAGACATACTGCAGCAGAAAGAATATCCCATAAAGATGTCTATGTCTTAATCCCCAAACCTGTGAATATGTTACCTTAGTAGCAAAAAGAACTTTGCAGATATGACTAAATTAAGGACCCAGAAATGGAAAGATTATCCTAGATTATATGGATTGGTTCAATGTAATCACACGGGTCCTTATAAGAAAGAGGCAGAAGTGTCAGCATACAAAAAAGAGATTTAAATTCTGGTGGCCTCTAGAAACTGGAGAAGGCAAGCCCCACCAAAAGGAATGCAGCCCTATCAAGATAACCAGAAAGATATCTGGATACTAAAGCAAAATCCAGCACTCCTCAGGAGAGGATAATGAAGTCCAGAATCTAGAAAGAGAGATAATGCTTATAACCAATAGAATGGCCACATTAAATATAAGGGAGGATGTGCAACACCTGGAACTCACATACAGCACTGATGGAACTGTAAGGAATAGTACAATTGCTTTGGAAAAGTGACAATTTTCCAAAGTGACTATGGGCATAAAAATCTTTACCCTATTTCCCCAAAACAACTGAGAAGTAACCTAGATCACACACATATATATACATATACTAGAGGCCCGGTGCATGAATTCATGCACTCAGGGGAGGTCCCTCAGCCTGGCCTGTGCCCTCTCACAGTCTTAGAGACCTTGGGGGATGTCCGACTGACAACTTGGGCCTGCTCCCCGCTAGCTGTCAGTTGGACATCCTTAGCGCTGCTCGCCAGCAGTGAGCCCAGCTTCTGGCTGAGCAGCACGCTCCCTGTGGGAGCACGCTTACCACCAGGGTCAGCTCCTGTGTTGAGTGTCTGCCCCCCTGAGGGTCAGTGCACATAATAGCAACCATTCGTTCTGCTGTTCAGACTATATTAGTCTTTTATTATATAGGATATATAGTTGGAGACATACAGATACATATAGGTGTGTATACTTACATACATATGCACATAATGTATGTGAATGTGGGTGTGTATGATACCAAATCACAGAGTAGTTACTACAATACTATCCTGTAAAACACATGTGTCAAACACAAGGCCCGCGGGCCAAATCCGTCCCGCCAGGCCTTGCAGTGGCCTCCGCTGCATTTCCATCACAATGACAGTTTATGACTGTTCAGTAAACCATTCGGCCCACGATTTAGGCTGGATTTTAGATTTTGGCCCCTTCTCTGATTGAGTTCGACACCCCTACTGTAAAACATGCCTGCTTCTTTTCCAAAGGCTATGAAGAACCTGTGTGGAAAAGGAACATAACCTGGTAAAAAGGCGAAAGTAGAATGATTTCAAAATGAATACTTCTATTTCAAACTTCTGATCTACTTCCACACTTCCTATCACATAAAAGAAGCGACCCACTCTGGGGGTTGTTTTGTCCTAATTAAAAAAAAAAAAAAAAAAAAGTAGAGCAAATGCATAATAAAACTCACCCTGTAAACTCATTTAGTACTCACAAAAGTCCCAGAGGGACTATTATCTTTTTTTCCCCTCCAGACGAGGTTACAGTGAAGTAAATGGAGGCACAGAGAGGCACCCGGAGTCTCTACTCTGCATACCATGCACTTTCCTAAAGCATGCCTCTTTCCACAGAATGAAATGCAAGCAGGCTTCCCTCCCTAAATGACCTTCGAATTCTAGGCCCTAAAGCATCCACAGGCTGCAACAGGGCGCGGGAATGCCTTCGGGATCCACGGGTGACGCACAATGTGCAAGGGGGCTCCTTGCAACCTGCAAATTCTGTTCGGGCCGGGCGCTTTCCCACGTATGCGTACGTGCAGGGAAGAGACATAAGAAGCCTTTGCCATTCCCCAGGATCCCCAAAGACGCCGGAGACCCCTCCCCCCCATAAACGTTGGCGATCCATTGACCGTGGAAGGGACCGTCCTGGCCACCGGAGCGGCGCGCGGTCGGTCCCCGGGGCCCAGGGCGCATGCGTGGCCGCGGGGCCGCGCGGGGAGGTGGGTCGCGGGCGCCTACCTGGTGCGCCGGCCGCGCAGCCACAGGAGCAGCAGCAGCAGCAGGGCTGCGGCCAGGGCCAGGCCCGCGGGGCTGAGCAGCGGCTGCAGCCAGGGCTCCAGCGGGAGGCGGCCCATGCCCGCCGTCACGTCCTCCGCCGTCCGGTCCGGCTGGCGCGGCGGCCGCGGTGGGTGAGCTGCTGACTCTCTCCCGGCGGCAGCGGCTCCGCAGCCCGCGTGGTTTCTGGGCTGCGCCCCCCTCGGTCCGATCCGGCCCGGCCCGCGCAGGCTGCCTGCCCTCGGAGCTGCCCGGAATGTCCCGGCGGGGCCCCGGAGCCTGGGTCCTAAAGTTCCCGGCTCCCCTCCCCCCGCACACCCCCACCCACGCGCACCGCCCTGTGCCAGACGGGCTCCTGGAAAACGGGGCGGGAAGAGGAGCCAAGGGGAGGAAGGGGTTGGGATTTCCCGTGAGCCTGCCTCGTAAGGCCCGGAGGGGGGATGGGGCCGGGGGAGGAAAAGGGGGTTAGGGGGGAACGTGAGTTCCCAGTCCCATAGCCCGCGCCTCTCGGGAGGGACCTACTTGCTCCTGAAGAGGGTGGGACTGCGCCCGCCGCGCTCTCGGCCCCAGTTGGGGTATCACTTAGGGCCCCCGAGACCTGCAGAGCGCGCTGCCCAAGCGCTCCTCACCCTGCACAGCCTATCTACTTAGAGAGCCTACTGTGTGCTCAGGGCCCTGGCATACAGACACCAGGAACACACACACACACACACACACACACGTAGAAGTCCTGATGATGCACACAGTCCAGGAAGGGAGAAGACAGAAGCAAACCAGCTTCGGGCACCAGAGACCTGCAAAAGCGCTCCCCGCGCCTGCCTCCTCGCCCGCCTCCTCGCCCTGCACATCCTGACTGTTTCCCGTGAGAGCCTACTGTGTGCTCAGGGCCCTGGCGGGCATACAGAGAGCAGGAATACACACAGAAGACCCGAGGATGCACGCAGTCCAGGAAGGGAGAAGACAGAAGCAAACCAGCTTCCTGCAGAACTGCACTAAGGGCCAACATAGGAGCGGTGCGAACCCCACAGGTTGTTCTCAGAAAGAATAAGGGGAAACACTTTTAAAACAAGGGAGAAACTTTTCCTGCTGTTTCACACACGTGATGTCATTTTTATTGTCGTGTTAGAGAACATATAAAGAGGCTTAGGTTAAGTGATTTACCCTGGTTAGTTGCTAAATAAAAAATAATAATAATTCTAACCAAGGCTATTCCAGACAACCGTGTGTGTGTGTGTGTGTGTGTGTGTGTGTGTGTGTGTTTTCCTTTTTTCCCAACATTTTTATTTCAAGGGTTCTCTCAACTATTATCACTTCAGAAATGGCCTCCATACCTTTAACCTTTCCAGGCATCCTCTCCCTTGCCACCGCCCTAGGACACAGACCTAGACTGCTTTGACCCTTTGACGGTTCAAAATGCTTCATGGCTGCCTTTGTGATAAAGTCATAAATCTTCACTCTGCAATGAGAAGCCCTCCACAGTTTCTCTTTATGGTACCACTCCCGTGGCTAGTACAGTTCTGTATATACTAAAGCCTGAGCCAATATGTCCTTCACAGTCTGCCCTTTCATGACTTACTACATTCATCCTGCCTGAAAACGTTTCCTCTCTTCTCCGAATACTAAAATTCTAGCTCCCTCTCAAGGCCCAGCTAAAATCCCCTTTTCTTCTAGAAGTGCCCCCTACCTCTTCTTTGGTAATTCATCTCTTTCTCCTCCATACTTTTAACACTGTCTCTGCTTTTCACAAATTGTCCCATGGCCGAAACAGGTTTGACTCAGTGGATAGAGTGCCGGCCTGTGGACTGAAGGGTCCCAGGTTTGATTCCAGTCAAGGGCATGTACCTTGGTTGCGGGCACATCCCCAGTGGGGGTGTGCAGGAAGCAGCTGATGGATGTTTCTCTCTCATCGATGTTTCTAACTCTCTATCCCTCTTCCTCTCTGTAAAAAAATCAATAAAAAATATATATATTTTTTAAATTGTCCCACTGTATCTGAGTTTACTTCAGTCTGTCTTTCCTGTTGTAGCAGATGGAAACCATCTCTTAGACAAACATGTCTGTATCCACTCTGTATCCCCAACCCACTCATCCCATATCCTCCAAGAACATAGCTGGAAGGACTTTGCCTCTGTCTGGCTCCTCGTCTGCACTCCAGAACTGAATTACTGTTGTGCTGCTGTCCTTGGCCTGAGAGCTGGGAAGGGCTGAGCCAGCATTGGAACCCTAATGTTTATAAGTATCTTCATCTCTGGCTTATTCCACGGTCCTTCTAAAGCCTCGCCTTCCTCCTGTTGTAGATTCAGTTTTCCAGGAAATATGATAAAGTACAGTGAGCCAATAGCTACTTTGTCTCCTCCAAAAGAAAGCAAATTGGTTTCCATCACTGCTTGGCCAGCAGAGCTCATTTACAGGATGTTGTGCATGCTGTGCATTTCTTTTTCTTTTATTTTAAAAAATATATATTTTATTGATTTTTTACAGAGAGGAAGGGACAGAGATAGTTAGAAACATTGATGAGAGAGAACCATCAACCAGCTGCCTCCTGCACACCTTCCACTGGGGATGTGTCCACAATCAAGGTACGTGCCCTTGACTGGAATCGAACCTGGGACCTTTCAGTCTGCAGGCCTGTGCTCTATCCACGGAGCCAAACCAGTTTCAGCCATTTCTGTAACTACGGCAGCAAGCCCTTCTTGATGATTTTCACAAGAAGCCTCCACTTTCATAATTTTATTTAACATTTGGTCACCTGGAAGACTTTTCTGTTTGAAAGTATAGAGGTAAAAATATCAAGCATTGATCAATTTTTGGAACATTTACTAAGTACTAACCATTTTGGTTTTTGTTTTGTTTTTTATTAAGCAATAACAGCAAACCCCTGTAGTTAAACACACTGTCCCCTGGAAGTGGAACGGAGAAGATTTGGTGAACAACTGGTATCGTTCGTATTCCTATGGCATCTGCATTGTACCTTACTTAGAAGATTATGGTACAGGCTTAATACTTTCTGAATATGATTTTTCTTGTACTTTTCATTTCTGTTCAAAGGAGCTTTCATTCTGTAAACTGACCTGGTTTAAATAAAATCTGAAGACATATCTTACTCCCCTTTTGCATCGTTATATTCAATCCAGTTCAATTTACCTCATACACATGCCTTGATCCACATCACTTCTCTGATGGAGATGACTCACTGACCCTCCATATCTACTTTCTCCTGCCTCCTCAGGAATAGCTCTCCATTTTTAGCTAAGAATGCAGCTGTCCCTTATAAACAACTGCTTTCCCAGCCTTCCTTCTAGTTAGATGTGGCCATGTGACTAAGTTCTAGCCAGTAGGCCAAGGGTAACTTACTACTCTAGGAAAGTACCCTGAACAGGAATGGACAGGCCCTTTGCCGCCTTTCCTTTTTCCTGCTGGTTAGATTGTGAACTATATGCCTGAAACTCAAGTGGCCCTATTAGAACATATAAGTATGTCCCAAATACTGCCTTTATTATTACTTTTGCTTGCCTGGAAGTCAAAATTAACTGGGGATTCTTTCATTTTATTTGCTAAATCTGTCAACTCTAGCTTAATTCCAACATAAAGGTTCATAAGGCAAAGAGACAATGCAACTATAAAATTCTACCTGCCCAACCATCCACTTCAGAAACCAGCCACAAATTGTTCCTTCAACATCTCACTCCAGTGTTACTGTCTTGTGTACCTAACTAGACCAGGGCCTACAGTCAGGCCTAAGAAAGTCATGGGTTAGGCCTTAGACTCTCAGGTATCCAAATGTGGACATGGATCAGTACAGATAGCAACTGGCCTTTCTTCAGACAATACTGATTTTGAGACATATGGAGTTAGAGAAATATAAGAAAAAACCAGAATTGAAAGCTGAGGGAATAAAGGTAGAAGATGATACACCGGAATCTCTACAGTGTGAGCTGTGAAATCCAGATGATGGGTCAAACCTCACCAGCTCAGGTGACTCTCATCTACTAACTGGTTGGAGCTGTCAGCCTCTGTCTCTATTCTCTGCCTGATCAATGATTAGAGCTTGAATTCTGGCCCTGCAATGATTTCTAGTATTTGCTATTTTGTTGCTTTCTTCTTAGAGTCTTCCTCAGCATCAACAATGTCTTTGACAAAAATTAGGGTGAGAAAAGAGGACAGGTCTTTAAAAGAAAAGTGTCCTGTCAACAGCTCTCTCAAGAAATACTTTCTTCTCGGCACTCCTATGGCTATACTATGGCTATACTTGGCACTCCTGTGGCTGTCCCGATTGTACTCTTAATTCTCTGTTTATTTCTTCATCCCTTTGGCCAGTTCTTCCTCTATTTTATCAGTAAGTGTCAAAGGGTTTGATCCTAGGTGTTTGATCCCAGGCATATTTTAATTGTTGACATTTTATTTAAAAACTGAATGTCCTGCCGGGACCGGTTTGGCTCAATGGATAGAGCATCAGCTTGGGGACTGAAGGGTCCCGGGTTCGATTCCGGTCAAGGGCATATCCCCATTAGGGGGTGTGCAAGAGGCAGCTGATCGATGACTCTCTCTCATCGATGTTTCTAACTCTCTGTCTCTCTCCCTTTCTCTCTGTATAAAAATCAATAAAATATATTTAAAAAACAAAACAAACAAACAAAAAAAACTGAATGTCCTTTTCAACTTATCTATGCAATACAATATAAATACTATAGTGGCTTAATGCCCACAATCATCAATTTTTCAAAAACCCATAAATAAGCTCTTCTTTAAATTTTACATTTTATATTTTCTCCTTCAACTCATATTTCCATTCCATTTCTCTCTCAGACTTTTATTCTAACAATATATTTTTATGCTTGAAGATATTTTATTGATAACATTTTATCTTTCTGCTCTAAAGATATGTATATAAATTGAAATTTATTTTTATATTCTTTATGACCAGATGACATAAGTGTTATGTTTTCCTTCATCCGGATTAAGTTATCATTGCCATTATTATTGGCACATTATTGATCAAAGAAACATAAATATATTACAGAAGTTGATAAAAAGTCACATTTAATGAGAAATGCACATTTAAATATGTATATGAATGGCTATGCATATGTAACTCTCTTCTCTGACAATGAGAAACTTGGATCCCGTCAAGCTCAATATATTTCCTTATTTGACCCATCCCATCCATATGCGGACCTTCCCTTCACCACCACCAGCATTTCCTCTTTCCCACAGCCTCCTCTCTGACACCTGACA